CAACCCCTACCATTTTGTGATTAAGAAATGGCTTCCTCATCTCTTATTTTTCATCTCCCATGACCGTTGGAAAATGCCAATTATTTGAAGAAAGTGTAACCCCTCATTTTGGAGGGTTTTCCTGTACACCTCTTTGGTGCATTAGAGTAAGTAAAGTTGTGCTAATTACCATTCTATTAACATGTACGTTATTATTTTAATTTTCTGCTGATTAATATGTTCATGTGCTAATGACCTTCTGATGTGCAAAGGGAAGTAAGATAAATATAGCTGATATCAAGACTCTTTTGTAGCGTTTTAGACCAGGTAATAGAAATACACAGTGCATCTGGGGCAAAGGATTCGGACATCTTTAAATTTAAGGTACCCAAAATGCTTAAATTGCTAGCCTGTTCATACACTGTGATCCATACAGGCAAAGACTACAGATAAACACTCAGAACTGTCATGTAGAGGTGACCTGATGTGCTGACTAGCCAACTAGTTTAGAACAACTGAGATTGTCACGGTTAGTTTTTGGAATTGGTTACTGTAGAAATCCTGCTCTAGTTAATTAATTTCATGCATGGTGGATTTGGGATGGATTTACAGGCAGGTGTTAGAACATGGAGATTGATAGAACATAGTGAGAAGGCAGGTTTCAATAGGAGCAAGAAAAAAACCGGGAAGTTTAAACACGCTGTAGGAGATCTTCAGAACTAAGTAAAAGATGCTCTTCTGAAAATCTGTATGTTAACAGTGTTCTGGGAATCTTAGGAAAGACAGGAATGAGTGAGATATTGAAGCACATTATACTTCATATACTGTTTTTTTTGACTGCTCACTTTTTTGTGGTCAGAATTCTAGTTGTGGAATTTTACAATTATTTGCAATAATAATCTGTTCATCTTCTTCTAACTATAATATAATGCTTTCTTCGATACACCAGTACCAAGTCCTGACCTATACTGACTCATCATGGTAATCAAGAACTGTATCTGGGTCTACGCCGGTTCAACTATGTATCTCTCTCTTAAGCAGGGTTGGAGTGAGGAAGGGATTTAAAGATAAATATAGAATCAGTAAAAGTATTTGAGTGAGTGATTGCAAGCTCAGCTGTCCCAGGCGAACATCCCAGCAAACAAATATGTAAAACTGTCGTCCATTGACTCTCTCCAGTCTCTACACCTAACAATGATTGCCACAACTGTTTGTCCATCCATATGTGTATGTTTCACATTCCCAGATACCTTCGCGCTTCGCGCTTATGTATTGGAAACTGCTCAAAAGGGATCCATTGTGTTGCGAGAACCTGCCTAATGCCAACATACTGTTACAGAACTGTAGACCCCAGAGATGCACACCAGTGGGGACCGGGATCTGAAAGCAGACACACAGACTCTACTTTTCCACTTGTCAGCCCATCATAAATTAGAAGAGTTCGGTAAGTGACTTGGAACATGTTCAGGGAGAAAGCTATACAGAAACCAAGATTAGGATAGCTCACTGTGACAAAGAATATACAAATAACAGAAGAATAGTAATACCTCTTGCGGAACAGAAGAGTCTGAGTTCATTACACTTGTTTCTACCACCCGAGGAAGTAAATCCTAGATATATAACTTACCTACCCCCTTCTACTCTCCCAAATAAATGTTCTAAGAATGATGATTTTTCATGTAAATGTGAGATGCAAAGAAACTCAAAGCGTAGCTTTAATATTTAAACCACATAACACTTCTTCAGTACTACAGCTGATGTAATTGTCCTTATCTATATCTGTGAAGCTCCCACCTCGAAGTTTTTATGCTGTGCTGTACTGCGATTAATGTTACTTAAAGATTAACAACAAGGGTGGACAAGGGAATACCAATGGATGTCATCTATCTGGATTTTTGTAAAGCCTTTGGCACGGTCCCCCACAACATCCTTCTCTCTAAATTGGAGAGCCATGGATTTGATGGGTGGACCATTCAGTGGATAAGGAATTGGTTGGATGGTTGCAGCCAAAGGGTAGTGGTCCACGGCTCAATGTCCGGATGGAGACCAGTGCCGAGTGGAGTCCCTCAGGGGTCCGTACTGGGACCAGTGCTGTTCAATATATTTATCAATGACATGGACAGCGACATCGAGTGTACCCTCAGCAAGTTTGCAGAGGACACCAAGTTGAGTGGTACGGTTGAGACACCAGAAGGACGGGATGCCATCCAGAGGGACCTGGACAAGCTGGAGAGGTGGGCCTGTGTGAACCTCAGGAGGTTCAACAAGGCCAAGTGCAAGGTCCTACACCTGGGTCGGGGTAATCCCCGGTATCAATACAGGCTGGGTGATGAAAGGATCGAGAGCAGCTCTGCTGAGAGGGGCTTGGGGGTACTGATAGACGAAAGGCTGGACATGAGCCGGCAATGTGTGCTGGCAGCCCAGAGGGCCAACCGTGTCCTGGGCTGCATCAAGAGAAGCGTGGCCAGCAGGTC